TATATATATATAAAATAGTTATTTTTGGCTCAGTTTTTATACATCTTCCACAATATTGTCAATTATCTGTATTGTCCTTGACAACATATTTCTTACATACAATAGTCTCCTGTGTTTTACATCTTATCTTTTGCTATTACCAAAATAATAGTTTGACCAAATCATGTATTCTTGGTCAGAATTGCCCAAAAGTGCTTGTGTTTTAAAAGCAAATGGTATAAAATAATCCTTCTCCTTTTAAAGCATTAAAAAATATATGATTTGATATATAGTGACTATTTCCAGGTGCTGCATTGTTGTAATGGTTGTTACTATGAAGCATTGGATAATTAACAGGATAATATATTGTATTTAATAATAGTTTTTAAATGACCAGCGAAGCAAGAAAAGTTGAAACAGCATCATGTAACAAGTAGACCTTCTGTATCTAAATACTTCCACATCTGTACACAATGGGAGGTATTTGGAATGTTTACATTTGAAATGAGACAAACTGCAGCCTTTTTTTATTAGCCACTTTAGGGTAGGGGTGTAAATCTCTCCATGAGAACAGCGAGAACAGAAAATTGTCCTTAGCTGCATATCCACACCCATAGGATCTGTCACAATCTTCTCCCCAAAACAGCCAGAGATTAGGAAGACAGCCGCTGTAGTAAAATGGCTGCCCATATCACAAAAACATCTCAGAGAAGTTTTTACAGTCTTCACCTTTGTTCACGTTTTAACGATTTTTAAAATGTTTATGTAAATTTTTTAGATGTTGATTCAGCATTTGAAGCACAAGTCATCACCTTTATCTTAAAGAAGAGGTTTAAAACACTGGTCTATTTATAAAAATATTTGTGTAGCTTATTCATCCAGTGAAACTGCATGCACATTTTTTTCTGTGCCAGTTAACGAGCTGTTGTGAGAATGCTGCAAGAATGGATGTTCTTAGTTCCAGAAAAGAGTAGGTCCCACTGCACTCCTTACAGCGCTTCCGGTCCGAGTGAAAATAGTGGTGCTTGCAGTGACAATCACGGATGGCGCTGTGTACAACAAGGTGTGTCACATCCCTACCCTGATGAAGGGACCCTGCGTGGTCCCGAAACGTTGGATTATGCGATATGTGTGACGTTTAGTCCAAATAAATTGACTTTTTTTTAATTTCATTTACGGAGTGCTGGTGATTTAAATTGTTCATTGGATGTTCTTAGTTTAATTTTTCTGGTTGAATATTCTTCAATAGGTTAACCCATACAGAACACTCATACAGAACAGAGTGAATGAGGAAAATACTGCATTATGGCCACTAGATGGAGCTGATGATCAGGGAAATAAATATATGTTAGTAAGGAGACACAATGTTAACATTCAAGAGAGTGCTGGAGGGAATGAGCATATCAATGTGATCAATGATACTATGGGGATAAAATGGTTACAACTATATGCTCATTCTCTCTCTCTCTCTCTCTCTTGAATTTTATCTCATTGCTAACTTGTACTTATTTCCTATGATCTCTCAGCTCCATCTAGTGACCGTAATTTGGTATTTTCTTAATTCAATCTGTTTTGTATGTGCAGCAGTGGGAAGAATCCTGCCTATATTGTCAGGATCCACTCAGCTGCCTGATTGACAGCTGGCTCTGCCTCTCTAGAGCCAGAGACAGCTGTGCCCACCCCCTTTCCTGTCCGTCTCTCCAATGAGCACTGGAGGAACAAAGAAAGGAGAGGGAATCCCTGCAAGGATTGGTGAGTGACAATCACTGCTCTCTGCAGGGAGAAGACTTTGAGATGAGCAATTTGGTCTATTAAAATCTCTCACTGTATAGTTAAAAGCTGCATAGAGACAGTTGCTCTTGACCCTGGCCTGTGCCTGGGCAATGCATTGTAACATTGCAGGTTTGCTGTAGGGCAGCCGCTTCATTTATATGGGCTGCCTACTGCGCCTAAATCGCACCAGAAGTGCATGAACCTTTTTTTTTAAATACTGCATCATGTCACAATGCATGGTAATAGCTTACATGTGTTGCGCTAGGTCTTTATATACCAATCTATTATTCACCTTCTAATTGTTTTTATACAGTATATGCCCACATGCATTTCTATAATTATACACAGTGTGATAATTGCATTTAACCAGTACGTGAAAGGATTGGTTTCGTACGTACTGGTTAAATGCAATTATCACACTGTGTATAATTATAGAAATGCATGTGGGCATATAATGTATAAAAACACTTAGAGGGTGAATAATAGATTGGTATATAAAGACCTAGCGCAACATATTTGCAATCACTATGGTTTCAATGACACACAGTGTTGCGGCTGGTCTAATAGGATTGAATTTTGACTCCCAGCGCAGTGGGGATGTTTTTTCTAATAGCTTACATGTGTTGCGCTAGTGATGGCACATGTGATGGGTAGGTGCATTGGGCGTTATTAAGAAATAATGGCACCGCAGAGTATCTATCAGTATAACATGTGATCTCATGCAATGTGGGTTTGAGTGTAGGAATGCGCCCCTGCATCGCAGAGATGTGAGTGGAGCCTAAGAGCCCTTTTACTGCACATAAAAACATTGCAATGTTCAAAAATCCAGGCTCATTTCTGTGAATAAACAGGCATTTTAATGCCCATTGGCATGCATTGCCATGTGTTCACACTAGCTTGTCCACTAAATTTAGCGAACAGGGTAGTGTGCTGTGACAGCTCAGGCAATATGTTGTGTATCGCTGTCACTGTTAAAATTTTTTACTTGTTTTAACTTTATTAAAACAAACTGTACACTCCATTCAGGTCCCCACACTACAGTGCGGTGTACTATGCTAAGATGAACTGCAAACAAAATGCAGCATGTCTGCATTATTCCACACTGCACCACACTACAGATCACACCTTTCACCACAACCATAGTTTCTATGTGCCCTAGTGTTGACTGGCATTGTTCAGTTGCTGAACAACACCAGTCACTGCATATAGCATGAATAGACCCTTAATGTCATCCATTGTTGAGCATTTTTCAGTCCTATTTCTTGGATGGGTCTAAATAATTACCATTTTTTCTTTCCTTCAGTTGCTGCGCTTTGCATTTATGTGCGTTATGTTGTGTTACAATGCATACATTCTGCATTTTAACACACCTCACACTCCACAGAATTGTAGTGTGTACAAGACATGGAAAACCTTTGTTGTTTATGTGTCCTTGCACTGACCCACTTTGATCCGGTTTGGGAAAAACACAGGTCACAGCACATGGTGTGAACGAGTCTGGACAAAGCGGGTGGAGATGTGTTCCTTTAATGAGTGAACTGCTGCATGCATGCACAAGTAATCTTTTCTTGATACAAATTCCCTTCAAGTTGCTGTTTGTTATTTTCTTCATTTATTTTATAATCTAATCAGCCATAAAGTAGGGAAAATGTTGTACCCTCAAGTCTGGGAAACTAATGTAAGGAAACATTCTCCGGTGGTCACATGGCAGCGTGTCCTCAGGATGACATATACATAGCAGAGAATGTGTTAAACATCTGGGGGGTTTCCCTTTTAGTGACAAAAAATCCAGAAAGTGAAAGGTTTCCTCATTAGAGTCCAGTCTGATGACCTGGGGCTGACAGATATGTAATCCTTCCCCTTCTTTTCCACCACCCCTAAAAATAGCATCCTGTACAAGATGAGATTTCATATTCCCCCCAACTGACTGTCTACTCTCACCCAAGTGGAAAGTCTGAATGTAGAAATACCTCTTTATAAATAGACAGGCAGGGTGTGTTTAGTGCTTCCTATCACTCATTCCTTATCTCTCCTCAATCCTGATATCATTGGAAAAGCCATAACAGTTCTGGATGACACTGGTGTGCTCAGCGTTCAGGACCCTGTGAATGTAGTCAGATCAATTAAAGGAGAGGTGTGGAAAGAGTTAAGCTGGCCATACACTGGTAGATTATTTTTCATCCAAACTACAGGATTTATGAAAAACATATACAGTATTTCTCCATCCACACCAAACAGCATGGATGGGGAATCTCCTGCTGGGCTATTGTATTCTGATAGTGGCGGTTCAGAATACTGGAACAGTGACTGAAGTTGATTGGCTGCCATCACTGTTTGGCTGAAAATTTTCCACCCAGCTCCTTCGATTTTCTGATCGAAGGATGTTGAGTGGAAGGTGCTGACAGGACTACCCAGTGTGTACATTTCGCCCGGTTCAGCAAAAA